AGAAAGGGATATGCAGAAAATTCAAGAAGAAAAATAAATGATGTAGTGAGACTAAGGATATTCCATACTTTGGATTCTGAGTAAGTTTCAGATTTCTTGAAATACGGGAGGCAATTCGCATAATTCCATCCCTTAGCACCGTCTTCTCTCTCCCATCTATCATAGTCAAACGGGTGGCCGCGCACATAGACCATGGCATTCAACGTAGAACATCCGCCCCACACTCTGAAAGTTAACAACACACAAATCAAACATTAAACATCCAAATAGCTATCCAGATTAGTAAAATTGGTAGAACTCTCGAGAATTCCTGACAAGGGTAGACCCCTACTGAGGTCATCGAAAGACAAGCCGACCTGCCTCTTGGCCAGTAGAACACACGATTTCCCACGTTCTTCTGTGCCACCGTGTGATAAAACCAATTGTATCGATCATGGCAAAGATTGTACATCAAAGCTGCCGGCATATGTATTCGCCAATCCCACCAGTAATCTTGCGGACCGGCTTCGATTAAAAGCACTCTGTTATTAGGGTTTTCAGTGAGGCGATTTGCTGAAATTTGCAAAGTTAAGTACGAGTGCAGAGATGGAAGGAAAAAATATTTATATTTCTGATCCAACGGTTATGAAATCGAGAAACTCGAACACACATTGAATTCCAAAAAATCTAACAACTATGATTCCTATTCCAAATTTTGTTACCTTAATATGAAAAGAGAAATTATGAGGATTCAAAATCATTACCTATGACACTACCAGCAGATCCGGCTCCGATAACAATATGAGTTGGTTTCTTCTCACCCAAGTCTGGTTCGATATAGCCCATTTTGTAACTGTCGCGCCATCTTGCATTTCTACAGTTGGATGCATGCAAACGTCGTGCTCCACAACGAAACGCTCGCCCTAGGGGCTCCCCAGCCTTATGGAGCATAACCTTGTGAAAAACTTAAAGAGAGCAATTAGTTACTGCAATAGACGGGAACGCAACATAAAAAATTTCAAGATGAGGAAAAGGAATTCTACTTGTTTTCGTCAAGATAATGCGTATTATAGCGGCCACGCAC